TCTCTCTCTCTCTCTCTCTCTCTCTCTCTCTCTCTCTCTCTTTCACTGCGGTGCCTAAAACACACCACCAAAAATAGATAGATCGTGACACGACGTGTTCCAACTCTACGGGGGGGTGTCTAATCGCTAACTGCACGCGACGAGCGACACCTGGAGGTGATCCTTGCTTCTGCTGCCGCTCGCGATTTGCCGGCTCTCTCACTCACCCAGGTTGAATTCGAACCGCAAGATGTACGAGGGGTATCCCTTCCGAGCCATGGTGCGAGCGAGGGGGGCATATGCCGACGGAGGAACCAGGGCCCCGGGGAAAATCACCACCTGGCGCGAGGAGGTTTAGCGCACCGCGCGGGGGAACGAGAGGTAGCGTGTTCGAGCGAACGTGAGCTTTTTTTGAAGGTGGGAAGGGAAGGATTTAACAGGAGTAGCTGAAATGAGGTGTTGTCGGGCTCGGGAGAGAATGGCAGAAACACCAAAGGCTACACGAGCAACAGCCTACCGTATTCATTCGGCCAACAGGCAAAAAGGCGACCCCTAGGCTAACGCGCGCCATGTCTATAGTTTTGGGTAGTTTTCCTCTGAGTAGTAGAAAAGCACGGGAATGGGGGTGTGCAACCCCGTGAAGAAGAAAAGGTGAATGAAGCCGTCCCCTTCACACGTTTGAGAGAAATCTGCTATGGTAGGAGGTCAATCGAGACGGAGAGGTGGTAGGTGGGGTGGGACTGTACCAATGCTTTTGTATCTCGTTGCATACCACTGCCGGCCCCGTCTCGAATCCTTGTGCAAGTCGCTTGCACCACTGCCTGCCGTCCGCTCTCTATCGCTTCTCTCGTGCATCAACTAAATATTTGGTCCTCTCACAACTGTCCATCACGAACAAACCAATGGCAGCCGCAACGAACACAGCATGCTTCTCCCACCTACAAGCATGTGCAACCCGCAAGCTTCACGAAACGAAAACAATTTTTCATCCGTGCTGGCGAAACGGCAGCACGAACCTGACACACCCACTCACCCCTGTGCCATGATCGTTGCCGCTTGCCGTGTCTTCCTCTCCACAGGCTTGCGCTTCGGGCGGGGGCAAGAACTCCAGGTAGCTACCGTTGTCCATCACCTGTTGTAGTTGTTTTGGTTGTTGTCGTTGTTGTTTGTCCTTGCCGTTGTCCTTGCTGCTGCCGTCGTATTTTCAGCGGAGTAAGCCAGGGGTTTCGATTTTCTAATCGGCGGTACATCGAACTCGTACACCGTAATCACACCCAAACCCCGCTACACATTATGCTCCAGAGAAAAGGCCTCCGGCGAAATCTTTCTCGATCTCTGCAAAAAAAACACTTGCGGGAAAAAGGCTGTTTGGTTCCATGCTGGTTTTCAGCTCGCACCGTAACACCGTCGCCCTCCCAGCCCGCGGACCCCCTTGCCGATGATGCCGTCACGCGCGCAGCCGCGAGGGCCTCGTCCGTCGGAGCCTTCGGGAGCAGGGTGATGGCGCCGAATGTGAATTCCGCCAACCCTCGCCAGTGGCTCAGCAGCGAAGGCTTCCCCAGGGGGTCGGAGTAGTAGCCCACACCGTCCCTGCGGTCGCCCACGCTCTTCCACATTTGCTTTTCGCGTCGTGGTAGCGAGGGGTTGGAGGGGAGGAGGCAGGAGCGGGCCGGGGAGGGGGGGTTGGGGGGTACTCATAGCCGTGCATGTCGTTGTCGTTAGACCATTGACCTTGCATCCCTACAGAGAGGGGGGTGCTTCGCACATGAGTCCGTTGCTACATAACCTTGAACGATTCAGTCCTCTGTGCAGGCTGCTTGCTGCTTTTCATTGGCACCGTTGCTGTTGTGTTTGTTGTTGCTACTGTTATTGTCGTCATTGTTGGTCTTGTTTTTATTGTTTTTTGCTGGTGGTGGTAGTGGTATTGGCGGTTGTGGTGCCAACGCGGCACACAGACCCGGTCGGGAGGTCTTGCAAGGATCTCCCCCTCCCTTGTGCTGCAAAAATACACGGAAAACTGAAACCGTAATTCTTCACGCAGCACATTTACTTTCTTTCGCCACAACGAACGAGCTGGTACTTGTTCTAGTGAGCATGAAGCCGACTGAGACAGAGGCGGGCGTGGCCAAAAAAGGGCCGGCTGGGAGGTGGGGGTGGAGGGCAAAAGGCAAGGCGAGAGACGGAGCAGGGCGCATCTCTACCATAGTAGTATGCATTGTTGACGAAGGATCTGACTTTGGACATATGGACACACTGTTGCGCTTTGTCGACTCCTTCGGTTGTGGCAATCACAGCTTCGAGGCGCGTAAAACCTCCACATCTTGACTTTGTCGCCAGGATTGTGAAACCATTTACCGCCAAATACAACTAACGCCATGTGAAGAATCACCACCGACACACATACCGCCTCATGAAAGCACAGGCTAAACAAATACCGCCTCATGTGCAACACTACCGCCACATAGACGATCACACTACCGCCGACCAGAAAATTATTCATGGGCTGAGTGAACAGAGGCCCTCGACTCGTCGAATTGCCCTCAAGTGATGATGGGGTTCGAGGTCAGGCGTGACCCTTTTCTTTGCGACGTATTGTTTCTCATGTTTAAAATATGTCTTATGTGTGAATTTGGTTTGGGTTCCTTTTCCGCTTTTGGGAGAACCCTTTCGTATTTGGTGAGACAGTGGGCAGGTACTGAAATTGCCACCTTGCTTGAGACCCGGTCTTATCGACAGAATCGAAATCGAAAATCGAAATCGAAATTCAGTTAAAATCTTCAAGAGCCTAAGAACATCTGCTGTGATTGAATGGAGGGTGCCAAAGCATAACATTTGGATGGAAACCCACTGAATCTTCCAATGCTGAAACTCGATACCAAAAAAATGAAAAAACATTTGATTCGATGTCGACCTTGTCGAACAGCAACAGCGCTTTTGCGAACAGCAACAGGGTCGTGCGCACGCCGCAGGATCGTTGGGTTCGTAGAAAGTAGCGCCACCTCTCACGCTCTCACACACGCCCATGAGCCCAAGACACGTGTAGTCCATGCGAAAGCGTCGGCGGAACGTACCATTATCCACCATCGGCTTCGCGTACGTGTACCAGCAACGGCGCTCGCGGCGCACGAAATTGTCGCGGATTTGCGGGGCATCATCGCCATCATCCATGAGAACCATTATCGTCAACAGCTCCAGGAGCTGTTTCAAGCGCTTCTTCGTCTGTCCTCGCAGCCATGAGCGTCGGCTGGCAGGAGCGCGACCCACGTTTTTGGTTGTGCGGCGGTGCGGCGCACGGCGCACGCAGCCACTACTACTTGCTCCGACTGGTGGGCTGTTCGCTGCTTGTCGTGGGTTCTTCGCGCGTCTTTTCTCAAATTCAACTTTGATTTTGGCAGTTTTTGGATAAGACACCACCGTCGAAATTTAACAAGTTCGGGCAGCTCTTTAGGACTTCAACTGAATTTCGATATCGATTTTCGATTTCTATTCTGTCGATAAGACCGGGCCTCGAGCGTGTCGCTTGAATTATTGGAGATATAGCCAAATGACTTGCCGCAATAAAGTTATCGCTACAGCCGTTTGTGGTTTTACCGCCCGTGCCAGACCCCACCGCAAAACAAACAAAACAATGTGGAACCGCCTACCGACGACACAAATACCGCCGTGGAATTACCGCCCAGTGTGTATCCACCGACATGAACATACACCGACCGGTAAGATTCACGTGTGTTTCTGTGTTTCTACGAGACTTGGTCGTAAGATATCACAACCACGACAACCACAACAACAACAACGCCTTCATTTGCTTTTTGTTGGCGGGGTGTGCGAGAACAGGCTCACGCTTGGCACGAAGCTGAGGGAGAACGTGAAGCTAAACCAGAAGGATGCCCCCCGCCTCGCGAGCCAGCCCAAGCCCCTCCGGGCGACATCAGCCGCCTGCGTCAGCATGTCTCCGGCCATTGTTTGTCCTCCGGCGGCGTGCAGCAGCCCGGTCCCAGTAATGCTCCCGCAGCACAATTGGTGGAGTCTGGACAGGCGGACCTTAAGTGATGCGTCGCCTAACCTGTCCGGGGCAAGCGAGGTGTGGCGGATCAAAAAAGGCGACGACCTCTTCGCTCTGTGACCCCTTCGCTCTCGGCCCCATGATTGAAAGAGCGACCGCGACAAGATAAAAGTCTCGTTTCGAAACCACCTGTAGGCTAGTCCGTTCGAGGACGGATCTTCTTCCGACACAGCAGTACTTATGTCCAAGATATTACAGCTGTTCAGCTGTTGCTGCTCCGCTTCGCCACCAATAATATGACACACGGCCACAAATGCCATCATCCACGCCTCAACTCATCCAGGGGAGTTCAAGCTACATTGAGACATACAGAGGGGGTGTCGTAGACTGATATATGATCAGTTTCTGAAACATAAGACATAAAATCGTTGGGGGAAGGGTAGGCAATAGCGTACTCTAAACAAGAAAATGCACTTGCAGCAGAAAATAATGCCCTTTTGAGGAAATGATACACCGTATACGACACAAGATAACGCCCCCATAGACCAATTTTCAAAGCTCGAGTACGACACGACCAAGAGGATGAATTTGCGAAACGGTCCAGTGTCGGAAAACTCTCGACGAGGCAGCTTCAACGCCACCGTGTTTGGCGCTGTGACTCTTTCTGCTGTTGAGAAATCGAGTTTTGAAATTTGGTGCAGGGGTTGTGTACCTTGTGTCGTAACTGTAGTACCCAGTTGAGGATGTGTCGAATCTGTACAGCAACCAACGGGGAACCTTCTTCTCAACTAGACTATACCAGGTGAGTAGGCTAGTCATTTTCTAACAAAGTGTATCTCAAGGGCCTGGCGTCAAGCATTCCCTCTCCCCACTGGCAGACAGATATAGGCTCCAATTCGATGGGTACAGTTAGGTGTCACGCAAATCCGTTTGTGTGTATTGTCGAGTGAATGAATGTGTGTGGTCACGGTATTCTCTGGTTTACCACACAAACACACAGAACTGCGTGGAACCTCCTATTCTAAGTTGTCAAAGGTTCACAAAGTCAACGCGATGTGTTCCTACATCAGTAGTTCCTACAAACAAGGCGGAACTTTAATGAAACAACCACAGAAACACCATAATACACTACACCCGTTCGAGAGACTACAACCCTCAACCGTAAAGGAGGGACTGCCCCTGGCAAATTATTAGTGGTGACTAATTCCACGCTGAACAATGCGTACAACCAAGAGCGCACAAAAAAAAAAGTCCGACACCTACCCGACAAAACGTTTTTCAGACCTCTCCAGGGGGGGGGGGGTTACGAAGGCCCATTCCCCCCCCCCAACGCCATATCATTTCCTATATAAACACGCCTATACTTAATCCAATAAAGGGGGCACAACTCATGCATAGGGTACAGTAACAACCCACGTAGCCCCCGGGCGAGCTTGAGATTGCGCGCATACCGTCCGTATAGCAGAGGAGAGAGAGCGAGAGAGCTTGAGGAGGGGAGGGGGGAGGAGGAGGAGAAAGGGGAGAGTGAGGTGTGGGGGTGAAAGGGGACGAGGAGGGAGGGCGAAGGCGCTCGGGGCAAAAAAGCACTCGAAGAAACGGCGGTTTAGTCTTGTTAAGGGAGGTGGAGGGGCCTGGGGGAGTGAATAAGCTTGAACGCACGGCAATTAATTGTACTTGGTGAGGTGATGCCACCGCCGCCGCAGGCTCATCGGCAGCCCCTCTTCGGCTTGTTGCCGGCTTTAGTATGCTTGGATTGATGTCGTTTTGACGCACTGTAATTATGCGTCCACTGGTTCTGGTGTGTCGTGTTATTCGCCATATTTGCCCAAGAAGGTCAAATGTCGCCGACTTTTCGCAGAAGCATTGGGAAGTTCGAAGATACTTCTAGCTTGAGCGGGGGGGTGTCCCCAAGTACTGTGCTCCCAAGACTACTGATGTAGCCCATCACAGCTATGATGTTTATACGCAGCTATGACATATATATGAAGTAGCAAACTTCCGGCGCCGAATTTGCACATCATTTACTGTATCAAACCTAACAAACAACTACCTGGTAACATGGTCCTTGTGCACTTCTGCGTGCCGGAAATACCAGCACACGCAAGCACACGCAATGGAGAGGGAGAAAAGTCAATAAAGCCTCTACAAAAATGTACCACGAAGAAAACAAAACTTTTTCGTCCCCCTCCTCCCGGGGGGAGGGGGGGGGGGNGGTCAGGTAGGTGTGCGGGAAGACTTTTTTGTGCGCCCTTCCTTGGTACAAGTACTGCTTTGTGACACTGAATAGCAGTGAGTACCGACTCTGCATGCGTGTGTGGACGCATCGCCACCGAAAGGCGGCGAAAGTAAAGGGAAAATAAGAGGCGGACAATGAAACGCGACGAGATAGATATCAGGGCGTCAGGGCAGGCAGCAGATCAACGGCTGCTGTGCTGGCGGGAACATGTAGTTGGAGGTGAAACACTTACGACGGGGAACTCACCTTTTTACTTTTGGCGGTGGGTTGATGGTGTGGAGGAGATGTGGAGTGGAGATGATCGAAGCGCCCGTAGTGATGTTTTAGGAAGTATATATAACCTCACAGAAAGACTAGCCGTCCGAGATCATACCGCATCAGTCGAAAGGGATGTGTGTGTGTGTGTGTGTGTGTTGTGTGTTTTCGTCCTACGGATTATGGCGACAGTCCCCCCTTTTTCGTGGTGAGACGTGTACTACAATTTTCAGCGTATGTCGAGCACTACACTTTCCAGTGTATTTGTTCGTACAACTACAACCATCCAGGATTACACAGGAGGGGATAAACACCAGGGCTTTTTTCTTCTTTATATTTTTCTTTTCATGCCCCACCTTCCTCCTGCGGTGCGTGCTGAATTTTATTTTTTATCGCGAGAAAGGTCCAGCCGTCCCTTTCCCTCGTCAACGGTGCTAACGTCGAAGTTTGGTACTCACGAGAGCTTGTCAGCTATATTTCGCTTTCACCAGCACATTTCGTAAATTTTTCACCCCTCACGACCTCTGCGACTAGCGGATTGCGAGAATACCTCTAGACCACCGGGGCGACCGGTAGGAGGTGTTTAAGTGTGTTAGATATACTTGCAGCAGTATCTGGTCGTGAGGATCCCAAGGGGATACTCTCTCGGCCTAACACGGCCGACTACCCAGTGCCCCAAGTAACGCCCACGACGGGCTTGCTGCACCCCGCGTAGTTTACCTTTCACACTAGTGCGACGATATCACGGTACCTGCGCGCGGGCGTAGCCTTCCGGGGGTTGTGCAGCCACGCGCAATCGGTAGACTCCCACAACAACATAAACCATGGAGGGCATCGACCTCTCCGCCCTTAGCGGGGAAGGACGACAACAAAAAGTGGAGGAGATCGTCCAGCAACGAGTACAAGCCGAACTTGAAGCCAACAGGATCAACGAGGGTGAAGTCACCTACGTCCAGCCACCAGCCGCCAACCCAGTCCCACCTACAGGCAACCAGCCATCACCCTCCAGCCAAGGCAAACCAGCCACCTTCAACGACCCCAGCAGCGTCGCACACATCGTGGCGCAAGCGGCTAAGGCGATAGCTGAGGCCATTGCTGAACAACAGGGCTTTTCCCGCTCAGGCACGTTACGTGTCAATCCTGGCTCAGAAATAGAACCTTGGCTTGGTAGCGTGAAGAAGGAGCAGGACTTGAATATAATGTTTGATTTTTTCGTGGTGACATGATTTCATATTTTCAGGAGGAGGGTGTGCATGATGCGTTGGAACTGGAGNCCGAACTTGAAGCCAACAGGATCAACGAGGGTGAAGTCACCTACGTCCAGCCACCAGCCGCCAACCCAGTCCCACCTACAGGCAACCAGCCATCACCCTCCAGCCAAGGCAAACCAGCCACCTTCAACGACCCCAGCAGCGTCGCACACATCGTGGCGCAAGCGGCTAAGGCGATAGCTGAGGCCATTGCTGAACAACAGGGCTTTTCCCGCTCAGGCACGTTACGTGTCAATCCTGGCTCAGAAATAGAACCTTGGCTTGGTAGCGTGAAGAAGGAGCAGGACTTGAATATAATGTTTGATTTTTTCGTGGTGACATGATTTCATATTTTCAGGAGGAGGGTGTGCATGATGCGTTGGAACTGGAGGTCTAGGTCAAGGCCGGAAAGAGGGATGTGAATGTAGCAGAGCTTCGTAGACTTTTTGGCAATGATGTGGTAGGCAAGTCTTTCAAGCTATTGAATATTCTCATCAGCAAGGTTATGTACCCCCCCATTCAGAGCTTGATTCTGGCGTGTGAGAGTCCACAAAAAGGCTGGAAAATAGTGACAGAGTTCTATCAGGAAAAGAAGCAGTCAGAAAAGTCGAGGTTGGAGCAGGACTGGAAGGAGTTGGAGATGAAAGCGTCTGAGAGTCCACAGGACAAAATTGCCCGGGCAGAAGCCCTTCGCTTGCGTCTAGCGTCTGTAGGCATGATTAAGGATGAAACAAATGCCAACAAAGACATTGCTCGTGGCCTTCCCTCTTCGTATATCGTGCAAAAAAGGAATGCTGCTTGCCCACGATATCCTGACGTTGCGTACCCTTGAGACTGTGGTGAGGGACGCCCACGGGGAGATGGAGCGCGAGAGGAGCAAGGGGGAGAGGCGCGAGGTGGAGCTCGCTCTCGCCGCGTCTGGCATGGGCCGGCGCGGCGGGGGCAGTGGGGGGGCATCCGGGGGTCAAGACGGCGGTCACGCAGCAGCTGGCGGCCAAGAAAGAGACGGAGAGAAGAAAAACGGTCATGTGTTCAACGACGACCCCTACGGATTTTGCCGCTATCACCAGTCCGAGCTTCACACCAACGAGCAGTGCCGTTTCCAGCAACAACTGCGGCGCGCGCGTTCGAGAGAGGGCGCCGAGGAACGCCGCCCGGGGGGCGGCAGCCGCCATGGTGACGGTAGCCAGCGAGGGGGTAGACCGCCGCCAGGGCCCGGCCGCGATGGCGGGCGATGGGTGAGGATTGAGGGGCAGCAGCACCACACCGGTCATGGTGGCGGTGGCTGGAGCCAAGCCTCGCCCCCCCCGCGA